GACCCCTCCTCCACTCCCTCCTCCTCTCCCTCCTCCACAGACTGCCCTCCCGGCTCCTTCTGGTGGCTCATCCCCCTGCTCATCTTCCTCCTGCTGCTCCTCGCACTGTTACTGCTGCTCTGCTGGAAGTATTGTGCCTGCTGCAGGGTGAGGATTCCCACCCGCCTGCAGGGTCCCCAGGGCTCCACCCTCTGCTAAGGTTCCCACCCCCAGGGCCCATCTCCCCAAAGTCCCAAACTCTGGGTCCCAGGGTTCCATCTTCCACCAAGGCCTCACTCTTCAGGATTTCTACACTCTAGGGCGCCCATCCCCCAGGATTCCCACCCCCCAGAGTCCTCACCTCCCAGGGTCCCCACTTCCCTCTAGGGTCCCCCCTTCAGGGTCTTCATCCTCCTCTATGATCCCCACTCCCTAGCCGAATGCCCACTCCTAACCCCTACCAGGTCTATCCACTTCCAGGTGTCCACTCTCTCCAGGGTCCCCACACTCCACAGGATCCCAAGCCCTTTACCAAACCCCACCCCCTTCAGGATAACCACCCCCTAGCCCTCCCCTCCTCCCAACCCTCACCAAGTCCCCACCCGCTCCAGGGTCCCCATCCCCACCAGAGCTCTGAGGAAGGTACTGTGTTGTGTTCGTCTGACCACTGGCCTGGGGTGGGGTTGGAGGGGCTTCCTTGAACTGGGGCAGCTGAACGTCACTTCCCTTCCCTGTCCCCTAGGCCTGCCTGGCCCTGCTCCCCTGCTGCAACCGAGGTATGGACGTGGAAGGGGTGAGGGCCCAGCTCAGGTGGAGGGGACATGGGGCTGAGTTTGGAATGGTATTGCCCTGGGGCAGTGGGTCCTGGTGCCCTGGGCTGAGCGCCCTGTCCAACAGGCCACATGGTGGGCTTCAAGGAAGACCACTACATGCTGCGGGAGAACCTGATGGCCTCTGACCACCTGGACACACCCATGGTGCGCAGCGGCAACCTTAAGGGGCGCGACACGGTGCGCTGGAAGATCTCCAACAACGTGCAGCAGCGGCCCGGCTTTGCCACGCGCTCGGCCAGCACCAACCCTGCAGAGCTGGGTGAGGTGGCCACTGCGGCCTGGGCACTGGGCGCTGGGGGACGTTAACAGCCCCGCCTGGGCCCAGCAGGTAGGCGCAGGCCCAGTGCAGCCCCCTGCTGTCCCTCCCAACAGCCTCAGTGCTAGGCCAGCAGTGCCCTGTCCTAGTGCGGCGCCTGTCGGGTGGGCTCTGTGTGCCCTCCGTGCTGGAGGCTGATGATGACCCCCTCCCGCCTGCCCCCAGTGCCATATGGGCTGTCCCTGCGCCTTGCCCGTCTTTGCACCGAGAACTTGCTGAAGCCAGACACTCATGAGTGTGACCGGCTGCGCCAGGAGGTGGAGGAAAATGTGAGAGCTGTGGGAGCCTGGCAGGGCAGCCATCCCTGGGCACAGGCCAGGGGGGACGAGGGGGGCGGCACGAGGGGTTGGTTGCCAGGGAGGGGTGACAGATGGGGGATGGCAGGGAGGAGGGTAACAGGCAGGGGTGGCAAGTGGACATGCAGGTGGGGTGGCAAGTGGACATGGCAGTCGGGTGGCAAGTGGGCAGGGAAGCAGTAGATTTGCCTCAGTTTTCTCAGATGGGAAAGGGGGGTGATGGGAGCAGCCACGGAGTGGGAGGCCGCAGAGTGGGTGACAGCACACATCCTGGGCACACACTCTGCCCCCCTGAGAGGTGCTCTCAGCTGGGAAGCTCGTAAGGGCCTGTGGTGGGGTGGCCATGAGCAGCCTGGCTCAGGCCCCAGATTCACAGCCCCACCCCGCCCCACAGCTGAATGAGGTGTACAGACAGGTCTCGGGCGCCCACAAGCTCCAGCAAACCACGTTCCGGTGAGTCCAGGACCAGTGGGGCCACCTGTGCCTGGGGCTAGTGGGGGGCTGTCCACACATCTGCTTTAGGAATGGAAGTCCTCTGGCCAGCCTGGCCTCCCCCCAGCCCTCGCCCGTGCCCAGCACCGTCTCACACACCGTCCTCTTTGTTCCCCACAGGCAGCAGCCCAACGCCGGCAAGAAGTGAGTGGGAGACACACAGGGGCCGAGCAGACCCATCCCTGGTCCCCTGCCCAGCTGCCCTCTTCCCCGAACCAGCCACATCTGCCCCTGCCCTGCCCAGCTCCCCTGCGCCCTGTCCTATCCGTCTGTCTCCAGCCCTGGCCCCTTGTCTCTCCCTCCCACAGGAAGAGGAGGGGTGTCTGTCGTGGGTCAGGACCTTCATTCATTCATTCCACATATTCCATGCGTTCCCCACATACTCATGTGGAACCCTGGTAGTGAGTCTGTGCCCTGGAACAGGCCAGACCACAGGGACCCACCCAGACACGGGTGCCTACCCCCCCACCAGCACCAGCGCTAGTCAGAACCTGACTCCGTCCTTCCTCCAGACTCCAAGAGCACCTCTGGGCACCAGCCAGGTTGACCTGGAGATGGGCCCAGGTCACCACCTCCTTTTCCAGTTCTCACTCAAGTCCTGGCCCTTCGGGGTGGGGGGAGGACAGAACAGCAGGCTCATCCGCTACGGCCCTCTCTCACCCAGCATCTCGGCTTCAATGGTCAATAAGCATTCTGGGTGCTTCCGGTGGGCCAGGCATTGTTCTAAGGGCTTTAGGCTGGTGTGTGACTTCATCAGCCTTATGAGGTACCAGTGCTATCCCCATTTTACAGATGAGGAAACAGAGGCCAGAAAGGTTGAGTAACTTGCCCACAGTGGTCTAGCTATCAGGAGGTAGAGCCGGGATTTGAACCCAGGCCATCCACCTGTAGCACCGGTACCCAGAGCCTCATTGCTGCCTTGCTCGCCTCCTAGCCCCCAAACTCATCACGTCACCAGCCCTTTCTGACAAGTGGGGCTCAGGCTCAGCGTGACCTGACTCAGGCTGTGGGTCAAGGGCTGTGCTCCCGCCCTCCTGTCCCCCCCCCCGAGGGAGGAAGAGAGGCCACTCTGACACTTGCCTGCTGGCTCCCACCAGACAGGACCACACGATCGTGGACACGGTGCTGATGGCCCCCCGCTCAGCCAAGCAGGCCCTGCTGAACCTGACCGAAAAGCACGTGGCACAGAGGGCCTTCCACGAACTCAAGGTGGCCCCCGGCTACTACACGCTCACTGCAGACCAAGGTAGGTGGCGGGGTCCGGCGGGAGCACACCCTCACGCTCCAGCTCTGTGAGCCCCCCTGGCCGAGGCTGACCAACCTGCGCACCCACCCAGATGCCCGGGGCATGGTGGAGTTCCAGGAGGGCGTGGAGCTGGTGGACGTACGTGTGCCGCTCTTCATCCGGCCAGAGGACGACGATGAGAAACAGCTGCTGGTGGAGGCCATCGACGTGGCCTCGGGCACTGCCACGCTCGGCCGCCGCCTGGTCCACATCACCATCATCAAGGAACAAGGTGGGGGTCGGAGAGGCAAAGGGCCCGCTGAGCAGCACTAGGGGGCATTGAGGGGAGTCCAGTATGTGGTGACCGTGTGTGTCACTAGGGCTGTGCTCTGGAGGGTCTTCCACTGTCTTTCTGCAGAGGCACCTCTGCGTGGATTCGAACCACCAGTCTTGCAATTAGCAACCAAATGTGTGCACCCCCTATAGACATCTAGTGCACCTTCCTCCTCCTCGTGTCCCTGTGCAAGTGAGGCCTGGCCATACAGCCCAGGATACACCACTTCACCTCTGAGCCTTGGTTTTCCTTATCTGGGAAATGGGTAGAGATGAGACTCTTGTGAAGAGTCATGGGTGTCAATCAGAGCCTGGCACATGACAGACATCAAAGCCTGGGAGCTCCTATTACAATCCCCTCTACCCCTGGTTCTCTTCCCCAGGGGCCTCTCTGACCGTGGGGAGTCAAAGGGATGCCAGAACATCAGAGCAGGAAGGAGAAAGGGGGTTCTCTTTGGCAAATGAAGAATTGAAAGTCTGGATTAGGGAGGGGCTCGCCCAGGCATTGCACCATTTTCTGGGATATCTACTGTCCCATGTCTCAGTCCCTTCAATTTTCTCTGGAAGATTTCTCCACCCTCTTCCTCCAGCCTCCACAGAGGGATGTAGGGGTGAGGGAGGAATGCAGGCTTGGCCTGGGTGAGGGGCTGAGGCCCGGCACCCTGACCAGCTCGGTCCCCTTGCAGCCAGCGGGGTGATCTCCTTCGAGAAGCCTGAGTACCTGGTCAGCCGTGGAGACCGGGTGGTCCGCATTCCCATCGTCCGACGCATCATTGAAAATGGCAAGTCCCAGGTCTCCTACCGCACACAGGAAAACACAGCCCAGGGCAACCGGGTAAGGTCCCCACATGACTGGAGGAGTTGCGGGGGTCCAGAGACAGTCCCCTGACTTCCTAGGACTAAGCAGAACATAGCACCTAACCCAGCTCCCTGGGGTGGACCCAGACAAGCCCACCTGCTCCAGTCTCCCCAGGTGAGAGCAAGGACAGTGCCCATCCCTGCCAGGGACTCATGCCAGGACATTCCTGTACCCCCTTCAACAGCCCAGGATCATTGGGGTGGCCAAACCCTCCGCAGACAGGAACTCAGGGTGGTTCAGGTCTGTAGCTTCAGCTGTGGGTGTTGGGATCCCAGCCTGTGTCCCTGACCCAACATGCCAAGGGTCTTCACCACCTGGCTGGCACCCCTCCCCATTATGGACAGCCCTTTAAGACAGGGAAGACCATGTGTACCCACGGCCCCCTCCTCACTGGCTCCGCAGCAGGGAACTTCCAGCTCCAGTAGACAGACAGGTTGGGTTTGGCAGACATGGGGTGGTTTTGTGGTGGGTAGTTTTTAGTTATTGTTGAGAGTTGCACGGAGTCACTTCCGTCTCACGCCGTCTGGTGTCCATGCAGACCTGAGCTCCTTGGCTTTCCAGGGATGTGACTGCTCAGAAACAAACCACCAGGCCTCTGGGTGGTTTTGAACCACTGCCGTTTCAGCTACTGGTCAAGCATTTAACAGTTTGCACTACCCTTTGAATTTATGAGCAGCTTCTAAAATTTGGTTAAGTCTACGTTAAAAACTTTCCTCAAAAGTAAGATTCTGGCCTCGCTGAGCCCACTGGTGCTCTATGGAAACCTCACAGCAAGGCCAGTGTGTCTCCTGGCCCTTGGGGCTGCAGGGCTGCCCATACCCCACTTCTTTTTCTTGGAAGGAACATTTGTCATTACTGCTCCAATGTCCGCAGTAAAAAGGCCAAGGATGTATTATGTCCATGAACTGCCTTTGGCATGTCACATCCATGCCACAGATACTGGCTCTGCTGATAGAAAGAGGCCTTGGTGTGTCAATATTCTTAAAGATATTTATCATGTCCCAGCTTTTTCTCTGGGGGTGGAGGAAGCTCCTTAGACCTACAAAAATGTTGTAAGATAAAATACATTGTTGTTAGGTGTCATTGAATCAACTCTAATATGTGGTGATGCTGTGTACGTACAGTGGAGCGCAGTGCCCCAGTCGCTGTCACTCCTGGCCTTGACCCTGTTGCCGCAGCCACGCATTAAATGAGGACCTCCCTGTTCTCCCTTAAATAGGCTCACGGCCGCTAGCGCTTGCCTTCTCGACTTAGATCCAGACATGCTGCTGTGTTGTTGATGCCAGCAAGTCGACTCTGACTCCTAGCACCCTTACGGGCCCCTGAACTTTGCCCAGCACATTTATGGGAGGGGGGCCCTGGTGGCATAATGACTTACATGTTGGAAGGTTAGTGACTCACATCCACCAGAAACGCGAAAGATGGGCATTCGCCTCCTGTAAGAATTTACAACCAAGACTTGCTGGGGGGCTGCTATGAGTCAGAATCGACTCAGTCAGTGGCTGTGTGTTTGCTTTTGATTTGAAACCTTTACAGAAGCAAATCTACACTTAGGTTGGCTAGAACCTGTAATCTTTGAGTTAACAGTACTTACCCATTTCATCTCCAAGAGTTTCTTTGAAATAGACATGTGGTTCTATACCTATTGGATACAGACAGGTTTTGTTGTTGTTGATTGCTGTCGAGTTGAGCATGACTCATAGTGACCCTATGAACAAAAGGCCTGAAGCCTCTCTCTAACTATCATCATCTCTCAAAGTTCATAGCGTTTCCAAAGGCACATTGTTTAGGAAGTGGATGCCAGACAGAGGTAGACGTCTATATTTATCTACATACAAAGAATGTTTTCCTTTGTTTTCTGAACTCCTGCAAATTAAGTTATGGCCATCATGACAGGAGACCCCTTGACATTTCTGCAGACACTTACTAAGAAAAGGGGCGCTTTCCTCTATGTCTATAACATAATTATCAAACTTAAGGACATTGTATTGATTATGCAAGTACTTAATTCCACTTGAACTGCTGTGAAGTTGATTCAACTCATGGGAACTCTGTCAGGTTTCCAAGGCTGTAAATCCTTGTGGGAGGACCCCGCCCACCTTTCCTGCAAAGCAGCTGGTAAACCACTGACCTTTTGATTAGTATCACAAGATGTAAAAGAGCTCCGTCTGTTGCTATTTGGTGCTATTGAATCAAATACAACTCATAGCAACCTATGAACAACAAATCTGGACCCTTTCTGTCCTGTGCTGTCCACACAATCTCTGACACCCTTGAACTCATTTCTAAAGTCACTGTGTCAGTCCACTTGGTTGAGGGCCTTCCTCTCTCCAAACAAAATGCCCTTCTCCAAGAAGTAGCCTCTCCGAGCAACATGCCCGGAGTATGTGAGACCAAGCGTCACCATCGTTTCCTCCAAGGAGCACTCTGGCTGCACCCTCTCTAAGACATACCTGTCCTTTTGGCCGTCTGGGATACTCAGGACCCTTCTCCAACACCACAACTCAAGGCATATATTCTTCTGTCATCGTGATTCATCTAAGAGTTCCTTCTATTACCTAGTCATCAGTCTATAATCAGATGCATCAATAATATTCTTATCATGTCTGTCTCCGTTTGGAATCCTAACAAGGATCTGGTATAGCATTTTGTTGCCATAGTCTTCTGTCTCCTTTAATCTAAAATAGTTCCCTGGCCAGTCGCCTTGCAGAGAAACCCCTTGGTTTTCTGCCACGAGCAGCTGAACTTTCCTGAGTTCCCAGCCTTTTGCATTGGCCTCTCCGGCCTTGGCCTTGGCCTTGGCCGATGGAACTGAATTGTAGGTTTGCAGCGCCACCTAGTGACCGCGCTCCATAGTGTTTCCACGCCGTCGTTTTGAGACCAGCACATCTTCCACCCAGCAACTGGTGGATTCGAACCAAGCTAGAGGGCTTTAGTTTGCCACCACAGCAGTTAGTCCACTGCACCACCAGGGCTTGGTGCACAAGAGATGCTGTTTCATGTCCATGTTCCTGCCTGTTGTGATGGGACCTGCGGTGTCATATGCTTGGGGTGGACCCTGTGGCCATGTGTCCCGGGAGGACTCTGGTCTCTTGCCACAGCCCCCAACCCTGGCCTGATCCGACCGCTCTCCCTCCAGGACTATGTGCCCGTGGAGGGCGAGCTGCTCTTCCAAGCTGGGGAGACCTGGAAGGAGCTGCAGGTGAAGCTGCTGGAGCTACAGGAGATGGACACCCTCCTGTGGGGCCGCCAGACCCGCCGCTTCAACGTCCAGCTCAGCAACCCCAAGTTTGGGGCCCGCCTGGGCCAGCCCCACTCCACCACCGTCATCATCGGGGACCAAGGTGGGCAGAGTGGGGGTCAGCTAAGGCAGTGGGGGAGGATGGGGTCTTCAGTTGGGCTGCCAGCTTCGCAGATAATTCCAGAACACTCCATGGAATGTGAATTTCAGATCAGCTATGGACACTTTTTTTACAAATTTTTTATTTTTATTTTTTGTGTGTGTACGGTCAAATCGGATCTGACTGAACAGGTGAACAGGAGGAGATGGCCCCTCCTTCTCCAGCAGTATGGACACTTTTTTATTATTACTATTATCATTCATTTTAATGAAAATTTACAGAGACTTTGGATTTCCATTCATTCACTGTTGCACTTTTCTCCCTGCCCATCCCTCCCCTCCAGTTTGTTCTTCTCTTTGAAAAGTAAAAGAAAAATTCTTTCATTGTTACACAATCCCTCCCCCCAAGTCCACTCCACTGTGCAGCCTTCACTCTGGACTCCTGTCATGACAATAATACCTAATCATATATCCCTTTTAAACAGTTCTCTCCCACATCTGTTTCAATGCAGTATACATAATTTATCCCATCTTTCTCAGTCTCCCCTCCATCCCCTATGTCAGTCCTGTTTTACAACAGTGGCATTATGCAGTATTTGTCCTTTTGTGACTGAGATATTCCACTCAGCATAATGTCCTCCAGGGTCACCCATTTTGAATATTTCATGAGTTCCTTGTTTTTCAATGCAGCGTAGTATTCCATTGTGTGAATATACCACAGCTTCTCTATCCACTCATTTGTTGACGGGCACTTTGCTATTGTGAACAAAGCCGTGATAAAAGTGTGTGCATAGGGGAGCTCTGGTGGCCTAGTGGCAAGGAAGTACAACTATAATCCCAGAGGCGCACGGTTCAAATCCACCAGATGCTCTGCCGGGGAAGGAGGGATAATCTCCTCCTGTACCAGTCAGATCTGATTTGATGGTACACGCACACAAAAATAAATAAAATTTTTTAAAAAAAAAGTGTGTGCATAGTATGGAGACTTTTTAATGTAAGTGCATACTATACAGTATTTGAGACAGACTTAGACTGAAAAAATGTTCACTGTGGTCTGGTGCTGACATTTCCCTGGGTGGGTGCCCTGTGTTCTCTCGGACACCAGAGGCTGCGGCCATGCTGTGGGGTCCTGAGTCCCCCCAGTAGGTCTTACCCTTTGACTTTCCTCTCCTTGTTGTTGTTAGTTAATATCGAGTCAGTTCTGACCCCCGGGGACACTCCCCCAACCCCGTGTGCACAGTAAAGTAGAAATCCACAGGACTTCCAAGTCAGTCGGCATCAGTGCTTAACCACTGCACCACCAAGGGACTGCTGACTTCAGCCTCCGTTCCAGATGAAATGGACACTCTCAGGAGGGAGGACACAGCAAGCTGGTGGCAGTCCCAGCCTCCAGTGTGCTAGTGCCCATCACCCCTCTGGAGAGGAGGCCTTGTTGGGGAAACAGTGGATGCTCAGGGCTGTCAGAAGAGAGCCTCGTGTTCTGTGAAACAGTGTTTTCTTTGCAGGGTTCCCTCCTTCTCCAGAGACCCTCCTGAGCCCCCTACAACCTTGGTACCAGTCCCCAGAGACCCCCCCAGGGGCAGGTCTCAGTTAATTTGCCCTGTGAAGAGCACAGTTTACTCAGTTTGTGGGACCCCCTGGGGGTAGAGAGGAGAGGCTCCTGTCTGCTTCCAGAGGATTGTCTAAACTGGCTGGTGCACTCGAACTTGACCCATTTACAGATGAAATGGACCTGAACTTCACCAACAAGACCAGGTCGTCACCCTCAGTCATCCGAGGTGACCCGGCTGCCCCACAGAACCCCAATGCCAAAGCTGCTGGGTCCCGGAAGATCCACTTCAACTGGCTGCCCCCTCCTGGCAAGCCGATGGGGTACAAGGTGAGGTGATAGTGGTGTGGACTGGGGAGGACAGTGCACTTATGGACACAGTGGACAGAAGGAGCCCCCATGGGGCCCAGGGAAGAGGGGAGACCCGCTCCCAAGGTTCTTGGGACCCAGATGATACCCTCTTTCCAGCATTCAGAGCTTTGCCACGTGAATATCACAGGTCACTTAACCTCGTGAGCCTCACCTGTGTCGTGGGACCCAAGGCTGGTCTCCTATGACAGAGGATGTGGTTTGGGGCACCGCTTCTCACTCACTGTCCCCCTTGGTGCAGGTGAAATACTGGATCCAGGGTGACCCCGAGGCAGATGCCCAGGTGTTGGACAGCAAGGTCCCTTCAGTGGAACTCACCAACCTGTACCCGTACTGTGACTACGAGATGAAGGTCTGTGCCTACGGCCCACAGGGCGAGAGCCCCTACAGCCCCGTGGTGGCCTGCCGCACCCACCAGGAAGGTGAGCCCGCCAGGTGCCACACAGCCACGGGGGCCAGGGTGCCCAGTCTGCCCCCCCCACACTCACAGCTCTCTTCCTGCATCTACCTCCCAGTGCCCAGCGAGCCAGGGCGCCTGGCCTTCAACGTTGTCTCCCCCACGGTGACCCAGCTGAGCTGGGCCGAGCCGGCTGAGACCAACGGCGACATCACAGCCTATGAGGTCTGCTACTGCCCAGTCAACGAGGACAACAGTGAGCACGGGCCCCTCTCCTCTGGGGACAGGAGCCTGGGAAGGATGGGGGCCAGTTCAGGGTGATTTGAGCCCCAGCAGCTGCTAAGCCTGGGCTGAGGGCACCGTTCAGGTTCAGGTCTGATCTGGGCAGGGTTGTATCTGAGTGGGGTGGAAGGCCTGGGATTATTGGTGAGTCACAGAGGGGCCCATATCCAGCAACACCTTCCTAGAAAGGTAACAAAATAGTCACAAAACACCTGTGGTCGATTGTGACTCCTAAAGGGCCGGTATGGCGACTAGAATTGCCCCAGGGGGATCTTTATGGTGCAGACTGCCTCGCCCTCCTCCCTCAGAGTAATTAATGACTTCAAACCACAGACCTTTGGGTTAGTAGCTGAGTGCTCTGACCACTGTGCTATCAGGGCTTCCCTCCAAGAACCAGAATGGATCATTTTATGCTGTTTTCTTAGGGGTACAGTAGCACTGTCAGAGTTAGCAAACAAAAGCCCAGCACACCCTGAATTTCAGACACACATTATTAGGACCATTTTTTTTTTTTTATTAGGACCATTTTAAAAAAATTATTTTTGTCACCCAAGCATCCAACAGACCTGTCCCAGCTCTGTAAGGGAGAAAGGATGGCCAATCCCAGGCAATTGTCCAAATGAGAAAGGATCAAGGAATGCCTGGGGCAGGGAATGCCTTTTCCCACTCTCCCCTTTGCTTGATTAATCCCAGAAATGGGGAGCTCACCACCACCACAGAACAGCCATTTTTGAGAGGTTATGATGGAACCAAACTTTCTGCAACATTTTTCCACTGGAGGTGAATCTGTCTTCTACCTTCATCTCGGGCCAAGGATTTGACAATAGCCTGTACCCCCCACTTCTCTCTGGGCAAAATATTAGTAACAAAGTCTCTGGCTATTCCTTGGCTTCTCCTTGGAGGCAAAGATTCTGAAACTTCGTCTGACATACTTTGGACATGTTGCAAGGAGGGACCAGTCCTTGGAGAAGACGTCATACTTGGGTGGGTGGAGGGACAGCACAGGAGAGGAAGACCCACTATGAGGTGGATTGATTCAGCAACTGGGGTAATGGGGGTAGGTGTGTTGGGGACAGTGCGATTGGCACAGGACAGAGCAGGGTTTAGGGCTGTTGTACACAGTGTCACTATGAGTCACAGGCGACTCAGTGGCACATAACTGGCTATTTACTTAACACCTCACTTTATCTTCCTGCAGCTATGAGGAAAGCCTGCTCTCTGGTAGCTGTGGTCTCCTCCTCCCAGAGTGAGACCCCCATCACACACACCACACAGCCCCTCACAAGCACAGACCATCTTGGATTTCAGTCCTGAGCCCACTCTTCCTCCTTTCTCACACATTATCCTGGGCACAGGCCCTGAAGGCAGCTGTTGGGATGTTCAGAGGCCTCTGCCTGAGCTTTCTGGATAGCAGGGAACAAGTATCCTCACCTTGTGGGGAGGCCAGGCCTGGTCTGTCACCAACCAGTGATGTTCCCTTTCAGAAGTGGTGGCATTTCTTGTGATAGTTCTGTAAGTTCCTGTTCGCTGCCTTGCTCTCTGAACCCCCGGAGCTGTTCAGGGGCTGCAGGGGGCTCCTGAAGGCAGCTCAGAGCCCAGCGTCCCCTCTGAAGCTCTCTCCCCGCCCCAGAGCCCATGGGGCCCACGAAGAAGGTCCTGGTGGACAGCCCCAAGAAGCGGATGCTGCTCATTGAGAACCTGCGGGAGTCGCAGCCCTACCGCTACTCGGTGAAGGCGCGCAACATAGCCGGCTGGGGACCCGAGCGGCAGGCGTTCATCAACCTGGCCACCCAGCCCACGCGGCCCATGTCCAGTGAGTGGTGGCGAGAGGGCAGGGAGGCAGGGGACTGGATGGGGAGGTTGGGGGGGCTGGGCAGGGAGACTGGGGGGCTGGACAGGGAGGGGCTGGGCCGGGAGGCTGGGGGGCCGGACCTGAGCTTGCCTCTCCGCCCTGCAGTCCCCATCATCCCCGACATCCCCATCGTGGACGCCCAGAGCTCAGAGGACTACGACAGCTTCCTCATGTACAGCGACGACGTGCTGCGCTCCCCCGGGGGCAGCCAGAGGCCCAGTGTCTCCGACGACACTGGTGAGTGGACCTGGGACCCATGTCACAGTTGCTCCAAGGCAAAAAAAAAAAATTGCCCATGACCACTAGGCATGGCTACTAAGACCAGAACTCGGAATCCCCAGGCAAATAGTACTGGCAATTAGGCAAACACTGTACTGACACTGAGGACTCAAGAGAGGACCAGGCAGACATGGTCCAGGTGTGGTCACGTGCACACTGTGTCCAAGGGCTGCAGGCACGCGCTGGTCCAGTGCAAAGGCACCTGTGTACCTGGCTTCCTGCATGTGGGCCAGGTAGAAAGAGCTCACCGGCTATGCCACGGGGGCAGGACAGAGGGCAGCACTGCTGTGGGAGGAGGCAGGGATGGCCTGGACGCCAACCACCACGCTGGCCAGTGTGTTCCCTGCACACAAACACACACACACACACACACACACACACACACACGGCCCTGAGGACAGAGGGCAGTGCTGCTGTGGGAGGAGGCAGGGATGGCCTGGACGCCGACCACCACGCCGGCCAGTGTGCTTCCCACACACACACAGCCCTGAGGACAGAGGGCAGCGCTGCTGTGGGAGGAGGAAGGGATGGCCTGGACGCCGGCCAGTGTGCTTCCTACACACACACACACACACACACACACACACACACACACACACACACACGGCCCTGAGCCTCCCCGCTCGAGTCCCAAAACAAAGTGGTGCAAAGAGCCCAGGGCTGGGATGCCACGCTGTCTTAGCTCAGGCCCTACTGACATCAGAGCCTCTCTGCCTCAGCTTCCTGAGCTGTAAAATGGGACACCAATCACACAATGCCCTGAGTTAAAATCGCCCAGAAATTTCTAGTTTTATGTGTCTCCCGCTGTTTCTCCAGTGAACACTCACTGGTCCTCCCTGGGCTGAGTGTGGCCTTCCCAAGTCCCTTTAAGGGCCTGAGAGAGCCCAGGAGATGCAATAGATAAGCCCTTGCTTGCTAAGTGAATGGTTGGCAGTTCAAATCCACCAGCTGTTCCCATAATTCACCAGGACACCACTGCAGAGACAGGGAAACTGGCTCAGAAGTGAAGTGACTTCCGAGGAGCCACCAGTGGCTGCCCCAGGGCTCTGCCTGTGGGTGGCTACACCTGCTCTTCCTCAAGGCTCTGTTTCTGGGGGGCAGGGCTGAGGGGCGCCGCCCTCCCCGGGTCTCGACCCCTTCCACCCAGATTTCAGCGCCCACGTAGGGTTCATGGCTCCGCCCTCCTCGTCTGCCAGCCCTGCCTTGCAAAGCTGCCTGTCCACCAGCACTCCCAACGCGGCCCTTCATTGTTCCCAAGGCAGCGGCGGCTGGAAGTTCGAGGCCCTGCTGGGGGAAGAGCTGGACCTGCGGCGCGTCACATGGCAGCTGCCCCCAGAGCTCATCCCGCGCCTGTCCACCAGCAGTGCGCGCTCCTCCGAGGCCGAGGCGCCCCCCACACCCCTGGATGACAGGGCTCTGGGCACTGGGGATGCTGAGGGCCGAGGCCTGCCACGGAGCGCCACTCCCGGGCCCCCCACAGGTGATGGTGGCCTCCAGGGCCTCACCTGCCTGGGCACACTGGACATGTTCTCTTTGGGAACTGGGGTCAACCTGTGCCCAGCTCCTGTGCACTCAGCCTGCCCATTAAAGAGGGCTGCCACAAGTCCTGGACTCCCCAGGGGCAGAGTGTCTCCTGGGGTCCCTGTGGGTCTCCTGGAGCCCCTGTGTGTCTCCTGGAGCTGAGAGGGACATGTGGCCCACCAGGCAGGGAGGCCCTCCTCCGGAGACATCGCTGTCAGACAACCTGAGACTTCCAGGACCACGACTGCTCTGGGGGCCCCAGCCCATGCCTCCAGCTGACCCAGATCTGTCCCCTGCAGAGCACCTGCTGAACGGAAGGATGGACTTGCCCTTCCCGGGCAGTGCCAGCTCCCTGCACCGGATGACTGCTGCCACCGCTGCCTACGGCACCCACCTGAGCCCCCACCTGCCCCACCGTGTGCTGAGCACGTCGTCCACCCTCACCCGGGACTACCACTCGCTGACCCGCACTGACCACTCACACTCCACCACGCTGCCCAGGGACTACTCCACGCTCACCTCCCTCTCCTCCCACGGTGAGTGCCCCCACACCCTGCTGTGACCTCCCACTCCTGTCCCTTCCAGGACACACGCACATAATGCACACACACCACACACACTTGCTGCCCTCCCCATGCACACTACACACACTCCCTGCACACACGTGCACAGGACACACACACACACTCCCTGACCCCCCATGCACACTACACACACACACACACAGTCCCTGCCCACACACTCTCCCTGCCCACACACTCTCCCTGCCCACACACTCTCCCTGCATGCACACATTCACACACACCCTGCCCCCCGATGCACACTATCCACACCCTGTACACACACACACACACTCTCCGTGCCCCTCTCACTCTCCTTTTGTCTGCTCTAGGCCTCCCTCCCATCTGGGAAGCTGGGAGGAGCAGGCTCCCCTTGTCCTGGACCCTGGGGGCCAGGAGTCGAGCTCAGGTGAAGGGGCTGCCCCGCTTCGGGGACTCCGTTATCCTTGCAGGGCAACCAGCAGTGCCCTCCTGGGGCTCAGGTAGTGCAGGGATGACTGTCTTCTGTCTCCGTGGCTGACCTGCTCCATCAGTTAACATCCATCCATCCATCCACCCATCCATCCGTCCACCCATCCATCCATCCACACCCCGCTCGTCCACCACCCTGTCATTCTCCATCGTGCCCACAGGAGCTAACCTCCTGCTCCATGCCATCAGTGCTGATGCCTTGTGGTGGGCTGGGCTGGGCAGGACCAGGTCATCAAAGGAGTTTTAAGTGCTGGCCAGCTCATGACGCTCACCCTTTGGGCACACGCAGAACCTGCACTCACTGAGCACACGCGGGAGGTGCTGGGCAGCATGGACAGGGTGTTGCAGGGTGGGTGAGCCGCCCGACTGGCAGGTGGTCAGCGAAGATGTGCCAGCTTTGAGGGAGGCCAAGGGGAGACACAACTCCTGCCCGGACACTTCTGCCTCTGCGGCTCTCAGGCTCTGACGGTGGCCCTCTGTCCCCAGAGTCCCATGTGGTCCCAGGTGTACCCGACACCCCCACTCGCCTGGTGTTCTCGGCCCTGGGGCCCACGTCTGTGAAAGTGAGCTGGCAGGAGCCACAATGCGAACAGGCGCTTCTGGGCTACAGTGTGGAGTACCAGCAACTGAACGGCGGCGGTGAGTACACGTGGAGTGGCTTGGTGGGGGGGGAGCAGCCCTGCAAGGCCCCGCACAGGATCCCCCCCAGCTTGTCAGGATTGCCCACAGCCCTAAGCACTAACACCTCAATCGTTTGAAAGGTCCTCATCCCATCACTGCCCCTTCTGGCCTTATCCATGTCCAAGGCCCTTTTCTCAGTCATCTGCTAGGTTTAGTCTCGCAAGGTCCCACTGCTCAGAGCCAGGGCCTGAGCTGGCCTGTGACATGACATGCCTCTGTGGACATCTGGAAATGTCCTGTCTGGGCAGTCACACCAGTCACCTGACCTGGGCCCCTGGTGCGTGGGCAGGGCTTCAGGCTCCATTCATTCCTGGTCCAGTGCACAACCTGAACCACACCAACCTTGTCTGGTGACCCTAGGCTGGCCCCTCCTGGAGGACTCTAGAAGGGGAGGGCATTGACAAGGGAGGGACACTCTCGGCCCCGCCCCATCCCCTAGGCGATGTGCAGCGTCTCAACATCCCCAACCCCAGCCAGACCTCGGTGGTCGTGGAGAACCTCCTGCCCAACCACTCCTACGTGTTCCACGTGCGTGCCCAAAGCCAGGAGGGGTGGGGCCCGCAACGCGAGGGTGTCATCACCATCGAGTCGCCAGTGAACCCTAACAGCCCACTCTGCCCCCTGCCAGGTGAGCGCCTCCCTCTCCTCACCCCAGGCTCCTCCTCCTTCCCCCAGGCTCCACCTTCACCCTCGGGATGCCCCTGTCCACCCCGACAGCACCCTCCCCTTTCTTTCCCCAGGCCCCACCCTCTCTTTCACATTGACCCCAGCCCTCTCCCCCCCAGACCCCCACCTTAACCGCACTGACAGCACCCCTTCGATTCCCCCTTCACCTGAAGCACCCTCACCCCACTCACACAGGCACCACCTCTTTGCTCCCCTAGGCTCTGCCTTCACCCTCAGCACCCCCAGTGCGCCGGGGCCACTGGTGTTCACAGCGCTGAGCCCAGACTCGCTGCAGCTGAGCTGGGAGCGACCCCGGCGACCCATGGGGGACATCCTTGGCTACCTGGTGACCTGCGAGATAGCCCACGAAGGAGGTGGTGTCCGTTCCTGAGGCACGAAGGGGCAGGAGAGGGCAGGAGAGGGGGACCCTGAGAGCTGAAGGGGTCTTTTGCCTAGGGCCTGGCACCAAGTTCATGGTCGAGGGAGACAACCAAGAGAGCCGGCTAGTCGTTCCAGGCCTCAGCGAGAACGTGCCCTACAAGTTCAAGGTGCAGGCGAAGACCACCAAAGGCTTTGGACCAGAGCGGGAGGGTGTCATCACCATCGAATCCCAGGAAGGAGGTAGGGCGATGCCTCAGTCCTGCCCCAACCCCGCTGGCCACGCCCTTCCCCGGATCCAGCCGCTGATTGGCCCCTTTGCCCACCCAGGTCCCTTCCCAAAGCTGGGCAGCCAGGCCGGGTTCTTCCAGTCGCTGCCAGGGGAGTACAGCAGCCTGACTACCACCCACACCAGCACCACCAGGCCCTTAGTGGGTGAGTGGGCGGCCAGGGGTGCTCGCGGGGTGGGGGTGGGTCAGACAGAGACTGGGGCAGGGCCCTTCAACACCTCCGCTGGCGCAGATGGGCTGAGCCTGGCGTCCCAGCACCTGGAGGCAGGTGGCACCCTCACTCGGCACGTGACCCAGGAATTTGTAAGCCGGACGCTGACCACCAGTGGCACCCTCAGCACACAGGTAGACCACCAGTTCTACCAGACCTGAGCCCCCGGCCCACCCTGCCTCTTCCTCCCCTGGCCACAGCTCCTGGTTCCCAGGTCCCGCACAAGCTCCTCCTCCTCTCCTTTCCACACTCAGCCACAGAGCAGGGGGCTGGTGTCCTCTGGAGGCATGAAGGGGGCACAGGCCCTGGAAGCCCCCTTGGCTGCCCACTCTCCCTGCCTCCTGACCCAAACGCATTTGTAACCAAAGACCTGGGACTCACATGCCAAAGATCCAGCCTCTGCAATGCACTTAATAAAAGACTTTGCTACACCTTGGCTCTGCCCTGTCCGTGCTCCCGGGTCCCAAGAGATGCCACCCCAAGCAGGGTACACTTCTGTCACCCACCCTCTGATGCCCGAGCACACACCACCTCCAAGGAAGGCAGGATCCTGGTCCGAGGCACAATTTATTGCGCTAACAGATGTGGTCAGCAGGCACTTGGGTCTAGGGCTGACCTGCAGCCTAGGCAGTGCCCGCCGGGCACCCATCGAGGACAGCAGCTCACAAGGGCAGCACCTTGGCTCCATCGGCCGCCTGGGAGAGGTAGAAGGTGGCGGTCCCGCTGTACCGCTCCTGTGGGAAGGGTGGCGGAGTGTCTAAGAAGGGTCTGAGTGGTCACATCTCCCCACCTCTACTCCGGCCACTTGGCCCTCCCGGGTTGGGGTACCTGGATGTGCTGGATGACGCGGGATGCAGTGGCCGCCTCCAGCAGTGTCACCGTGCAGCCCCCAAAGCCACCGCCAGTCATGCGGCTTCCATAAACCCCGGGTGCAGACAGCGCGGCCTCCACAAGCTGGTCCAGCTCAGGGCAGCTCACCTCGTAGTCATCCCTGCACAGAGGGCGGGGGGAGCCGGCGTGGGACGTGCTGGCCGGGCCCATCCTGACCCTGGGGGTGCAGGTGCCCAGGGGGGGCCTTACCTGAGAGAGTGGTGACTCTCCACCATGAGGCGGCCGAAGCTTCGGTAGTCTCCACGGCTCAGGGCGTCCGCAGCCTGGGCTGTGCGCCGGATCTCACCCACGACATGCCGGGCCCGCCGGAAGCCCTCCTTACTGACCAGCTCCTTGCCAGCTGGGGAGGATAGGAAGTCAGCAGACCACCTCCCCACCTCACCCCCCAATGTGGGCGAGGGGCCACCACAGCTCCTGGGCAGAGGCCCTCACTGGGCACCCAACTACCGGGTGCTAAGCACTTCACTCGAGTCCTAGTGGCACCGGGAGTTAAGCGCTAGGCTGTTAACGGAAAGGTTGGAAAACATCTTTCTCCCTGTAGAAGAACGTGGCAATCCAGCCCCACAGAGACCTACAGCCACCAAGACCCTTGAGGGCAGCTCAGATCTGTCCTGTGGGGTTGTAACAAGCCAGAACACAATCAACTGCCAGTGGGAGTGGGGTTTTCACTTAGTGAGGGGGTGGGAGGCCGAGGGGCGAGGGCAACCTCCAAGGCAGAGACCTGGCTCTGAACCTGCATCTGCATCATCGGTTGGACACTGGCAGGTGACTTGGTCAAAAGCGAGGCCACTGCCTCCTCTGAATGCTGTGAGGATAGAACACCTCTGAGGGGCCTGGCACGGAGTGCGCACTCCTCAAACAGCTGTTTAAGGCCCAGGCCCTGCTGAAGCTTCCGGGATGAGCGGGACACTGTCCTGCCCTCAAGTGGCCCCAGCTGGACAGGAGGGAAGAGCTTTACTGATGTCAACACAAGAGCAGCGACAGAGCCTGAGGACTGGGCGTCTCAGAGGGGACAGGCACTCAGCAGGCTGCCTGGCTGGGTGTGGGGGAGGGTGGAGGGAGCTGCCTCTAACAGCAGCCCCTCAACTCCCAGGTCAGGGAGGTTTGGGAGGAGGGCAGGCCTGGCAGAAGGGCTGGGCTAGGGGAAGAGGGGACATGCAGGACTGCAGGCCTGATGGGGACCAGGCCAGAGGGAGGAGTGTGAAGATGGCTTCCATGTGGTAAGAGTGACAACAGAAAAGGGAAGTTTGGGGAAGACTTTGGAGAAAGTTCAGGGGTCACGGGACACCCAAATGAACTTGCAGGGGCCTGAGGCTTTAGTGGCGCCGCAGGGGGCCTCCCCTGTGTGTGAAGGATGAAGGCTGGGGCCATGTCAGAGGCAGGAAAAGCAAGCAGGCCCCTTGGGCTACAGCAGGGGAACAAAGAGGCAATAGGGCCAAGGTCAAGGGTGGAGTGTAACCCACGAAGCTTATGTTAGAAAGCCATGGGCTGGCAAGGTCTGGTGGCCTAGTGGGAAGAAGCTGCACTGTAATCCCAGAGGTGTGTGGTTCAAATCCACCAGATGCTTTGCCGGAGAAGGAGGAACCACCTCCTCCTGTACCAGTCAAATTTGATTTGATGGTACACACACACACACACAAATAAAAATAAAATAAATAAATAATTTTTTTAAAAAAAGTATGGGCTGCGAGATGTGGAGGCATGGAGGGTGGCGTGGAAGACAAACAGGCCGAGGAGGGATGAGGAAACAGGCAAAGAGGACGCGAGGGACTCTTCCGGGGAGTTTGGCAGGGAGAGTGGACAGAAGGAAGAAGGGGCCAGAGTCTCTGGAGAAGGGCACCACCTAGAGGACTGAAGAGGTAGGGCAGCGGGTGGCCAGTAGCAAGGACGCAAAGATCATTCAATGACTCAAATGTAAAAATCGTGCAAGGTCATTTGCACAGAGCAGGCAGGGCAGGGCTAGGGGACTGCCTGGGAGTTGATATTCCCAAAATGCACAGGACGGTCCCGAAACTAGACAGAGTGTGAAAGAGGCCCAGGGAGAGGCCCACTCCTAGAGTGAGTGGTCAGCTCAGCACAGGGACCAGCGTAGCTCAAGAGGCCACCTGGGCTGGAATCTAAGCACCGTCTCCTTCCACAAATAACACTACGAGCTCTTCAGAGAATTAAACGACTTCATCTTTATATAACAAAAACACTGCCACTGAGTTAATCCTGACTCTGGAGGACAGAGCAGAAGCGCGCTGCACAGTGTCCAAGGCTGGAATCATTATGCTGTCAGCGTCAATCAGTCAAGAGGCCCATGGATCAGAACCACTGACCTTTTGGTTAGCAGCTGAATTCTGTAAACACTGACCCATCATGATTCCTTTTCTATGACCTTTGAACATTGTTAAATAAGTACAACCTCCCTGACCCCACAGGAGCTTACAGGTATCTGGGTGACAATCAATCCCTTTCTTCAGAGCATCTTGATAATGGGAAGTTAAAAAACAAAGGGAGATGGGTGTGTGAAGGAGAAAGGGTGAAGTCTCCTCTGGTAAAGTCACTCTCAAAACCTGGTGGAAGGAGGAAGTGGGAATAAACCCAAACCTGAGGGAAGGTCACTAGAGTCAGAATCTACTGGATTCCGAGTTTGATTTCCAAGATGAGAAAAGGTACCTGTTCAGTTTTGAAAATCAAGGCAGAAAGGGAAAAAAACAGGGGTGGGAGAAATGTTAAGAAAATGCTACAGCATCTCCTGGGGGTGATGAGACCACATTTTATATCTCCTTTGTACTTTATTTCCACAACAGAAGCCTAATTCTCTTATCTGGAAAAAAAGGGAAATCTGGCCAAGGCTGGGGTATCCGGATGAGGGGTGGGCAGGCACAGCAGGAGGGCCCTGGAGGTCAGAGTGAAGAGCACACCAAGGGGACAGCCTCACTCACCCTCAAGTTCCTCCATCCGCACTTCCCGGAGGCTGTCCTTGCCCAGGGCCTGGGCCACCTCCTCGCACTGGCGCCGCCTCAGGGGGTACTCGCTGGAGCCCAGTGAGTGACGGACATTCGAGTTAGTGATGAGCACAGCCAGCTTGGGATCAGAGAGTGGCACCAGGGTGGTCTCCAGGGACCTGAGGGGGAGATGGAGTTGGGGAGACAAAGGGAAGAGGCGGTTTGCCATGCCAGGTGCTGGGCACACTCCAGCCAGAAGCGCCTGACTTAGGAGGTGCGAGGGGGGAAAGAGGGGGCCCCTGACCTGCAGTCAATGAGCAGCGCGTGGCCCTCCTGCCCCAACAAAGCGATGAGCTGGTCCATGATGCCACAGGGCACCCCCGCGAAGCTGTGCTCGGCCCGCTGACACACCTGGGCCCGGGCCCCTACGGCTCCCGAGTCTGAGGCACAGAGTGAAATAAGAGTGAAAAGGTGGGGACCCACAAAGGGGGAATAAGGGTAGGTGCAGGGGAGCAGCAGTGACCCCAAAGCCACTCCAGGGAAAATCCCACCCCCTCCCGAAGTGAAGAAGAGGAAGACAATGACCACAGATGTCAGGAGGAGATGGGCTGGAGGATGGACCTAGGTACCTGGGCACAGCTGCTGGAGAAAGGTGTATGTGGCCACTTCCAGGGACGCAGAGCTGGAAAGCCCACCCCCCAGAGGCACTGAGCTGACCACCACTGCATTGAAGCCGGGGAGAGGACTAGCTGTAGGGGAAGAGTGGGTAAAGGTGGAACGGGATGCCAGGAGGGCATACACAAGCAGGGCATGAGTGCTGGCATGAAGGGAGGCAATGGTCTGGCAGCTCCTCTCAGGTGTCAGGGATTATCAACCTGCTGGGCCCAGGCGACAACTGCCCTCTAGCCTCCACCCTCTGTGGCTCCTGGGACCTCATCTTCTGCATCTTCCTACTAGTTTAGGGCTCTAGGGGCCAAGAGACTAAGTCTAGAATCTTGGCTCCTCCATAGAAATAGTGTAATGAGTAAATTCCAGAATCTCTTGGAGCTTCAATTTTCTCATCTGTAAAATGGAAATGCTACTCCCCAGGGGATTAAATGAGCTACACAGCTGTGGGGTGATGCTCTTGGTACCAGCGTGGATTAACCCAGGCCAGGCCCCACACCTGGGTAGTGCTGAATCACTCCCTTGATGTAGTTGGCCCAGTAGGGTGTCCCAGGCTCTAGTGACCGCTGGGCTGTGGGCAGTGGGAACTGCAGTCGCCGAGGCTCATCGGCGTCCTCAGAGGTGGTGAGAAGGGACACGAGACCATCCGTCCGAGGACTGCCCACTATCACTGTCATAAGCTCCAGTGCCTAGAAGGAGAGAGAGGGGCAAGGCGTTCAGTACCTCTCAGTTCAGCCAACGTTCTGAGGGGCTTGGGACCAAAGGCAGACCAAGCCAGGCAGCAAGCACAGGGGCATCAGATGGGCTTGAGGCCTTGGGAACCTGGGTCCTGGCCCCTGGGATTTCAGGGCCAGCTTCAGCCCTAGCACAGATCCGGACTCTGGACTCTGGACTAAGCCTGGGCTCCCAGCTGTGGGGCCCGAAAAGAGCACAGAGGGAAAGGGTCAGAGGCACCCGGTACAGCCCCATTTGCGGTTACAGTTCTCAACTCCTAACAGAAAGGTCAGTGGTTCGAAACCACCAGCTGCTCTCTGGCAAAACGAGGCTTTTCTGCTTCTGTAAAGATTCCAGCCTCGAAAAGGTTTGGCTTTTTGGATTTGAGATGTGCTAAGCTGCACCAAAAATGAAACCAAATCGATCGCAGTCCAGTGGCTCTGAGCCCTGATGACCCAGTGAGGTCTGAAAGGAGTCGGTCAGGTGACCTACAACAGGTCACCTGCCCTTTCGGACCTCAGTTTCCTCCTCTGTAAAAGGTCCGCCGGGGCCTGGAGTCACAGGGCTTGGGCCAGGTGTTCTGTAGCGGGGATCCCGCGGAGGACAGAGCCGCGGACGCCCCTTCTTGCATGTGGCACTGAGATCTCCGTGGTCAGCGCGCTCCCAGGCGAGGAGCAGCGACCACAGCTCTTTCCCCGCAAGTTCCCACGAGGTCCACCCTCCAGCCCCGGGAAACGCCCACCCCGAGCTCTGCCCACCGAGCTCCTTCCGCAAACTCCAGGAGGAAGTTGGGCGCGGAGGGAAGGTGTGGCCCTGCGCCCCGCGCCCCGCTCGGCCTGGAGGGGTGCCTGTTGCAGCCCCCAGCCCCTCACCATGGGCAGCACCAGGCCCTGGTTGTAGTCCGTGTGCTCCCCGATGAGGTTGACGCGCCCCGGCGCCGACACGGCCAGCACGGGCTCGGCCGCGAACTCCTCCCGGAAGGCGCGCAGGGCCTCGGCCAGCAGCTCGGCCACCCGGGGCTGCGCCGCAGCTGCCATGACGCTCGCCGTCCGCTGTCCCGCCGCGTGCAGCTCCGCTCAGCCCGCCCGCCCGGCCGCTGGATGCTGGGGCGGGGCCTCGGGTCTGGGGAGGGGAGGGAGAGAAGGAGGAGAAGGGAGAGGAGACAGGGAGGGAGGGGCGAATGGGAGAGTAAAGGAGGGGAGAGAGGGAGGGATGGAGGGGAGGAGAGAGGAGGGAAAGGGAGGGGAGGGTGGGAGGAGGAGGGAGAGGAGGGAAGAGAGAGGAGGAGAGACAAGGAAGGAGAGGAGGGGAGGAGGAATAGAGGGGAGGAAGGAGAGAGGAGGGAAGGGGAGAGGAGGGGGGAACGTAAAGGAGGGGAAAGAGGGAAGGAGAGAGGAAGGAGGTATAGAGGGGAGGGGAGGGAGGGAGAGAAGAGGAAACTGGAAGGGAGAGGAGGGGAGCCAGGGAGGGAGAGGAGGTGAAGTGAGGGGATGGGAGAGTAAAGGAGGAAAGACAGGGAAGGAGAGGAGGGGTGGGACACACACACACACGTCCCTGGTCCCTCCCCAACGAGGTTCCTCCTGCAGAAGGGGCTAGAAGTCATCCCCACTGGGTCTAGGTTAGGGGGCTTTCTGGGGAGCTTGGGCCTTTCTCAGGGTTTGGCCCAAGAGCAGGAAACTGCATTCAAAGGACAGCTCTGAAAATGCACATTGATTAAAAGCAGAGTGGAACAGTCAAGAGTTGTCTTTGCTGTAGGAGGTAGTGCTGGGAGTCTGCACCCTGTTCCTGCCAATATCTCAGACACTGTGCCTTGCCCTGTCAGTGCCCAAGTCGGCTGCTGGCTGTCCGGCCAATGTGTACAGCTTTGGGTGGTCCTTGGCTGGACTGATAACTCTGTCACACACGCAGGCAGAGCAATGAGACTGCATCAAGTCAGCCCCTCTCCAAAAGGGTCATCTAAAACCTGATGGTGCAGCAGTTGAGCCCTTCTTGTTGTTGAGTGTTTTGAGGTTGGTTCTGTCTCAGAATGACCCCACATCCAACAGAAGGAAACCCTGCCGGGTCACAAGGGACCCTTACAATCACTTCTGGAGGCTTTTCACAGACCCTCTACATTACCAAGGTCAAAGTCCTTCCTTAAGAACTGGTTCCTCTTGTCAAGCTCTGGTGGCCTAGTGGCAAGAAGCTGCAGTGCCAGTCCCTGAGGTGCAGGGTTCAAATCTACGAGATGCTCTGCTGAAGAAAGAGGGACAGTCTCCTCCTGTACCAGTCAGATCTGATTTGACAGTACACACATAAAAAAAATAATAAAAATTAAAAAAAAAAACAAACACTGGCCCCTCCTGACCCTCCTGACCACACGCCGAAGTGCGTGAGACGCTCTCACTGTCCTCAGTTCTAAGGAGCATTTTAGTTATATTTCTTCCAAGACAGTTTTGTCTGTTCTCGTCTGTCCACGTTCTTTGCCAACATCACAGTTCAAAGGCATCAGTTCCTCCTTGGTCTTCTTTTATTTATTGCCCAGCACTTGGCCGCTTGCTCTGGTGATACACGTTGTCCTTGTTGATGTTAGGTCCCTTCCAGTGAGTCACAACTCATACCGAGTACATAAACAACAGATCTGAACCATCACAACCCTGCCCCCTCCTAACCATCTCTGCCAGTCCCCCTCCCATTGTTACTGTGTCAATCCATCTGCTGTAATAATTACAGCCTAGAAAACCTTCAGGGGCAGATTATAGCCTAGAAAATCTACTCTGCCCTGTGGGATTATGAGCCAATATCCACACAACAGCATACACGTCCTCAGGGCCCAGCAGCTGCGACTGTTCACCAGGCCCTGGCCGTGGATCAGAGCCTCGTGCTCAGGACAAGGAAGGTCTTGTGGGGGTTGACCAGAGGCCCTTTCTCACAGGCCCTCCCCTGTCTGTGGCCCCACTACCGGAACTCCTATCGATGGAGGACTGAAGGTGGCAGCAGCTGCCAGCTCCTTCTCCAGGGACCTACTGCATCTGCCATGAGAAGTCAGCACAGCACATGTTTCTTCAGTCTGAGAGCCTTGTCTGGTGGGCGCATGACCTCCTTCCTACTCAGGGTGTGACATCTGCCACTTCTCTTACCAGCCTGCATCCAGTATCGTGGGCCTTGCCTGGACATCTGCCCACAGCTGCGCACCCGATGTGACACCTTGGTGCCAATACAGCAGAAGAGGCTGAAATGTCAGCAGCATCTCACATCAGGATGGGGACTTTGTGGAGAGGTATAGTCTAGGGCCTGAACGGGAAGGAGGTGTCAAGAAAAGGGGGGAAACCCCGAGGATAGCAGAGGTTAGTGGGCAGGGGTGTGTGTGTGTGTGTGTGTGTGTGTGTGTGTGTGTGTGTGAAGGAACAGGAAAGATTCAATGGTGATATTTAGACATACAGTAATAGTAGTCAACCACATAAAAGACAATGCACATGAACAGTTTCATTAAACACATGTATATTGATGACTGTGTGTAAGCCAGCACCACTGTACCCATTGTCATCTTTTCAGTGCAGTTTACCCCCATGGCTATAATCCTTACAGAAGCAGTCTGCCGTGTCTCTTTCTTTTGGAACTGCTGTTGGATTCAAACCTTCAGCCTTGCAGTTAGCAGTTAAGTTAGTCAACGATTCACCTCACCCCATGGCTCCCAGTTTGTTGTTCAAACATGCTGCTGCCAAGTTGATTCTGATTCACAGGGACCCTACAGGACAGAGTCCCCTGACATTTCCAAGGCTGTCGTTGCTGTGGAAGCTGCCTGCTGCCTCTCTCCTCCAAAGCGACTTTTGAGTTCAAACTCCCTACTTTTCATTAAGCAGCCACTTCTTGTTGCTATGTGCCATCAAGTCGGAACCAACACACAGCTGACCGCTAATAGGTTTCCTGAAGCTATAAATTGCATGGGAGGGAGAAAGGTTCCCTCAGAGCAGCTAGTAGATTTGAACCACCCATCTTTGGGTTCACAGCCTAATTCCCTATCCACTAGGCCACCAAAGCTGCTGTATATTATTGCTGTCCAGTTGGACTCGCAGCAACCCCACGGGAAGGTAAGGGTCACTACTACAGAACAGGACGGGTTCAACTGAAGACGCCCTGCAAAATCCCAGCGCCCTGATGTCAAGACTTCGTCTCACAGTATTTTTTTTCTCTTTTTTTCTAAAGTGTAATTTCCATTTTATTTTCAGATGAGTTTTTTTCTTCAGCCTTAAGGAATCAAATCCTTCCATGGGTCTTGGTGGTGGTCGTGGGGCAGCACCTGCAGGTCTAAATCCAGGTGGAGGTGTTCTGTCCTTCCAGGCTTCATGAGAAGGGTTCCTCCCCTCCTTGCTGGGAATGGCACAGCTCACACAGAAGTGCAGTTTCACGCAGAGCTTGGGAAGCACATATGCGTCAAAGACACTCGCTTCAGAGATGTTCCTGACGGCAGCTGTCTCTACTATATTTTGAATTACGAACTTCTTAATTGCTTTGTCTTCAGGCACACACCGGGCGCAGTTCGTGCAGCGAATAGGCTGCACATGGCCACGGTCCTTTCTGGCATGACCGTTGTTTCTCCTTTTCTTTGTCATGTTGGAAGCGCGGGCCCAAGAGAACTTTTTTTTTCTTGGTGTGTACCTTCAAGTCAGATCCAACTGGCACAGGAGATTGCCCCTCCTTCTCCAGTAGAACATTTGGTGGGTTTGAACCATGTACCTTCAGGATTGCAGTGCAGCTTTTTGCCACTGGGCCACCGGAGCTCCCTTTATCTTACATACTTTAGACGTATTATCAGGAGAAGCCAATCTCTAGAGAAGGACATCATGTTTGGAAAAGCAAAGAGTCAGCAAAAAGAGTTTCACCATTCTTGCCTCTAAGAAGCAGCCTAGCTCACTTTGTCCAAGACAGACTTGTTTGTTATTTTGGCTGTCCATAGGCTGACTAGTACACTTCTCCAACACCATAACTCAAAGGCATTCCTTTATCTTCAGTCTTCCTTATTCATCTTTCAGATGTATAAGAAACAATTTAATAATATCATGGCTTGGGTCAGGCACACCTTAGTCTTTAAACTGACATCATTGCTCTTTACCACTTTGGCAAAGTCCTTGACGGCAGATCTTCCCAATGCAACAAGCCTTTTGATTTCTTGACTGCTGCTACCATGGATGTTGATTTTGGATCCAATTAAAATGACATTGTTGACAATTTCAGTCTTTTCTCCACCGACAAAGATTTTGCCCTATCGGTCAGGAAGTGAAGACCTTTGGGGTTTTTTTGTTGTGGGTTTTTTTTTTCTCTTATTATTTTTTTTGTGTGTGTACCGTCAAATCAGATCTGACAGGTACAGGAGGAGATTGTCCCTCCTTCTCCAGCAGAGCATCTGGTGGATTTGACCTGCTCACCTCTGGGATTACAATGCAGCTTCTTGCCACTAGGCCATCAGAGCTCCCTAGATCTTTGGTTTTTTTGATGTTGAAATGTAATCTGTGCTGAAGACTGTCTTCAGTAAGCATTTTATATCTTCTTCATTGTCTATGTATATTTTCCTAAGTACAAATGCTCATGAGAAATTAACCACATATCCACACAAAAACCTGTTCACAAATGTTCACTGCAGCATGATTCATAATAGCTACAAAGTAGAAACAACCTAAATGCTCATCAGTTGAGGAAAAGATAAACTGTCGCATAAACACACAATGGAGTGGTTTGGGTTGGATTGGTTTCAGTAATTCTGTTTCAGTCCCAATATGTTCCTATTTTGGTTTTGCTTTGCCTTTGATTTTTACCTTAATTTGAATATACTCAGCTGCTAACCAAAAGGTTGGGGGTTCAAGCTCATCTAAAGGCACCTTGGAAGAAAGGCCAGGCCACCTGCTTCTGAAAATCCTAGAGAGCAAAGGTCCATCTGACACACATAGGGTCGCCACGCGCTGGAGTCGACTAAACGGCAGGTGATTGTTGTGAGGCCCTATGAGCAACAGACCAGAACTTGCTCCAGGCTTGATATGCTGAGCGCTATCTAACCGTGTTCCTCT